CTATACAGCTTGTCAGCGAGTAGGAATGTAAAAACGATATTTTTGCTCACACAAACGCTGCTAAAGTAGCTGGTGATTCTGTAACAACGTTTTTGCCAGTTTTGAGAATGTTTTTGACGATGAGCTTTTAACCGAAGTTCGTAAATTATTCCATAAGTGAATCGCCACATAGGCAAACGATCGTCGGAAGGACCGCGTTCTATGCCTAGGTACGATAAAATTAAGATTATTTCTGCTTCTCTGGAGACCAGGCAAAGGCACACATCTTTCTCTTACATAGGGCGGTTGACCTGTTTTTATAACCCTATAGATAAAAGAATACATGTGATATTTTCTGCGATTCGTCATGTTTAATATGCTGTAGTTATTCAGATAAGGAGTGATATGGTTTCGATATGGAATTCCAAACGCAAATCTCATGCAACTATTTTGAACTTTTTGTATGCATTTTTTGGTTCGCGACGACAGCAAATCACGATAGACTACATCTCCCTAGTCAAAAAGGGATAAAATTAAGGTATTACACAAATAATATTTTTGTTTGGCTGATAAATGTTTTTTTAATTTGTTTATATTTTTTAGTCGCATGTAAGCTAAATTTGTTCTGTTTTTTATATGACTGCCGAAGCCAAGCGAGCTATCAAATATAATGCCTAGATTTTTTGTCTCCTGAACTATGGGGATTCTGTCATTGTTAATAGAAATTACTAAATTTTGTTCAAAATGTTCTCTTTCATTACTGTTTTGATTCATAACCATTACTTGCGATTTTGAGGGTCACTTGCTAATATAACACAGTTTGAACGGTTGCTTAAGTATGTTTTGTTAGATTTACGGAGTTCTGCGAAAACCCCAGGTAATGTAACTTGCTTCCGATACGCGCCATTGTTTCTACTGGCTGGGATCACCTGCGAGAGTGCTGGTCTTGGTAAGTGTTCTGGTCTTACTGTCGCATCTGACGCATTGTACCGTCAGGTATCGGGGAAAGGCGACGTTGCCAGATGGAATACCGGTAGGGCAGGGAAATAATGTTTATCGACGGATTTGTGGGCTTGTTTGACTGACTTGATCCATTTAATTTTTATGTTTTCAGAGGGTCTCACTTGTGCTAAACACAATATTCCATGTCATCGTTGCATGGGAAGTGCAGAGTCAATCAATAAATTGGTAATGATGTTATTGCAAAAAACTGTTAAATGCTTCCTATGACTAGAGCGATCACATCCTCATCATGTAGACCTTATCCACTTTTGACATCATTGCGTATTAGTTTTTTGTTTACAATCAGCTGTTCTACAACATAGAAACGTTTTTATTGTCAGACAACAACAACAAATAAGAATGTCATGCACAACACTTTACGCTTTACTATCTGTTCCAGACAAGTGAAAATATTAGGACTGTTTTAGGTCAGTTAGTGCAAGATCATCGCGAACAGTTGCCCCTGCTAAACATGGCCTTCTTCTGTTAACACATTGGCATTCATTCTGATAGATAGGGAATGGAGGCTAGATTGAGACCCACTGTCTACTGCAGAGGCGTAGTGGGTTTCCATCCTGAATAATACGAATATGTTCTCCCAAACAGAAAAGGGCACGAGTAGATGACACTGCCATCTAGAAAGGAGAAAGTGAAGAAAAAGTGACTTGCTGCATGGAGGTGTAGTAAACACAAAATTTATTATCATTCTTAATACTTGCACTTACGGTCACCGTTGCGGCCGAAATGTTAGCACAAGTATTTGAATTTGTGGCTTTTCTTGGTTAGACGATGGAGTTGTATCAACATGAAAACCACATTATAAGCTTCAGGGATTGCATCAGTTCCAGGTCCTTCTCAGAGCCAAACGTGTTGAAGTCATATCTTCAGTAATTATAAAGCGAACTAGAACGAGTCGCTCTTTGGAGATGGTTGTCTATACATTAAGACTACATGCTTGTTGGAATAAATAATATCCAACAAGGTTCCTTATTGAGTATTTTGAGAACTGTTCTGCCTCATACGCTACGTCCTCAGACACCAATAAATCCAGACCCTCCAAATTGCAGAAAAACTTTTCTCTCTAGTCTGCTTGCACAGATCGATTTTTTACTGTGAATATCCAGATGTCAAATATCATCACTCACGACGCTTTGGTTCGGAACATCTTTTAAACAAGAACGGAAATGATGGGGGTCGATTTGGGTGGTTTTCGCCTCAAATTATTTAGAAGCGGTTAATTTTGGGATGTTTTTGCCTCAAACTATTTTTGGAATAAGAAAAAAGGTTATTATTATTTCAAAGTCTATAAACAGTACTAAATCGATTTTACCTTGAACGGGCCATTTGAAACCACGCAGTCTTCCTCCTCAACCCTTAATCCGCCATCCATTAGTAAAATGATTTTAACAGAATTTATCGCTGACAAACTTATACTTGCTTAGCAAAATAATGCTTCGTATTGGCAGCTCATTCACTCATATTTATCATGATTTTAGCACTCGATTAGGGGCGGAGATTATGGTTTGATGCAGATTACATATATGCATATATATATAAGTAATTGCAAAATATCTTCTGCTTATCAGGGCTGATTTGATTCTTTTGAGGCTGTCAAATTTGTGTTACATCAAGTTTAATGTCATTTGAAGGTCAACTGAAGAAGAAGTCAAACAGTAATAAATAAAAGTGAATGGTCGCTTAATAAGGTGTTGGCGTGGTGTTTTACTGAATCTCAAAGAAAAATGTTACTACTAAGGAACTGCTTATTGAGGGTTGAGGGGAGACTGGGATGTTTAGTGTTGTCCGATTAAGGTAAAATTGACTTATTATTGTTGGTATACATTGTAAAAGTTATTATGTGGCTAAAAACTGCCCAAATCGACCCATACCCTTGTATCCGGATCAACGATTTGAACGGGATACGGTTATTTCACAAATGTCTGGAGTGTCATGTCATGACCATAATGTGGTTTGATAGTCTCCATAATACGACATGGTAAATCAAAATGTCAGAAATGTAGCTGGCCTGCCTGAACATCGCTTTTCACTCTGTGTTGGATAGGATATACGAGGTCAATCGTTAATCATGCATCAATACAACACACATAAATGAAAATCTGTGGGAATGTCTATGGGCGCTATACTCCCATTGTATAATTTTGACGGTAAAATCCAAAATTACTATGAGCGGCAGAAGGATCAAGTGAGTGAGCAGGCGGTTAATGTTTGACATCATCATCAATCCGAAATACGTCCAACACTGATATAACTGTGATGTAGTGCCACTGGACATATTTTCTCAAACCATAAAGATTCTTTGCTCTTGGCACACTAGCAACCTTGAGTGAAAATTTCATCAAAATCCCCGACCGTTACTTTCCGTTATATGTAGTTATAGACGGGCCAAGGATTAGTGGACAGACAAATAGACCGACAGACAGTCAGACAAACCGACAAGCTATCGGAAATGAGTGACATGGTTCTTTTGATGTACTGATCATCTTACATCGAAAAAATACAATATCTCATCTTCGAAATTTTTCGCGATTACAATACTTCCTCGCTTGTAGGCGTGAGAAGTGAAAGGAGAGCAAAACACAGCTTTCTACTATCTTTGACCATACCTTTGACCAGCATTATTAGAAAGCCCCAAGAAATCAACATTTATGTTAAATGTATTTTTATCTGACTTTCTATTTAGTCGCGTCCATCTTTTAATTTTGGCACCTAAAAGCTCAGTGTACTTGAAGGGGACTATAACGGCTTGTTGAGCTGCTGTTGTGATGTGTAGCTTTACTGCTGGATTTTTTGGCTATAGATTTTTTCCGTTTTTATTATAACTGCTCAAACGATTGTATATTTTAGGTTTTCATGTCAATCTATGATGACCGTACTATATGTAGGTCGTATACAGTTCCTAGTCGTTTTGTCCGGCTCCTCTTCTAATTGGGCATGTCGTCGTAATTGCGGACCAAATCGAGAGGCGGCCATCGCCTCACCGACTTTTCCTTTTACGCGACTCTCCCTCGGACATGTCTTGCCTCTAATCACCTGGAAATCTGGATTCTTATCGCTCGGATTCGGATTGAATGGGAAAGAAACAATAGATAAGCTGCTCTGTCTACTGCCCGGGATTATGGAAGGGTATTGTCGATTAACATTACCATTGCTGCCGTGCCCGGCATGGTCGAACGATGTAATGGCTGAGAGAGAAAGAGAATTGTTTTATCCTTTTATGTATGATGATAGCTCTTGTTCCCACATTCAAAGCGTTGAGAGATAGAAAGCAAGATATGAGATATTTTGCTGTATTCTACACGTTGGAGATAACAATCCTAAGATCAGCTACAATCAGTGGTCGTCAACTCGTCGATCGCGAGCTACCGGTAGTTTGCAAAGGCAATTCTGGTGGCTCGCAACATAGTTTAAAAAGGTGTAAAAATCATAGAAGCTGCTGTAAATGTTATTAATTCTAATAATAACAACAAGCAGCGGCAACACTGCGGTGAGCGATCTGTTCGAGAATGATCTCGATTACAGTTTAAAACTGAACAGCACAAAGTCCAGCACTTGGGTTAGAGTTACCCTGCAATTAAAAACATTATGACCAGTAGTAAGAAGACGAAGACATACCATTTCCATTTGGAATGGGAAGAACAATATTTCTTTACAGAAGTTAAAGGTATGAATGTATGTTTGTTATGTAATATATGTTTCCTTTGCTAAAAAAGGGAATATCGAGAGGCACTATAAAATTGTACATTCGAATTTTGAAAAATCATTCCCACTACGTTCTGCAACTAGAACGGAAAAACTGAAACAATTAAACAATGACTTAATTGGAATAATAATCGGATAAATAGAAGATGAATATAAGTAACAGTTAAGAAATGACTTCGATAACTGTGCTTATTTTTCACTGAAGCTGGATGAATCCACAGATGTCGTGAAACATCTCTCAGATGGCTATGTTCGTCAGGATCGTTTTTAGTGATTTTACGATTAAAGAAGATCTTTAGAAGTTTATTCCACTTAAAGGACAGACTACTGGGCAGGACTTATTTTCTTCTTTTCAAAGTATTATTTCTTCTGAGAAAATTACAAAGTCGAAAATGGTAGGCTCATGAACCGATGGCGCTTCAGCTATGGTGGGTCCTGAAAAGGGTCTCGTGGGGTTATGGCGTAAATATGAAAGTTTTCCGTAAATTCTCTGTTACGACTGCATTATCCATCAGCAAGCATTATGAGAACGTTTTCTAAAACTCAACAACTTTATGATATTGGTAGTAAAAATTGTGAACAAGATCAGAGCTCAAGCGTTACAAAGAAGATTATTCAAAACACTGGCCGATGAAATTGACTGTCAATACGGGGAACTACTTCTTCACTCTGAAGTCCGATGGTTAAGTAGGGGACGAGTGCGGAAACGTTTATGATATCATATCTGCCATAGTTCAATTTTTCAAACAACGTGATGAACCGATTTCGGAACTGGAAGATTCAATCTGGTTTAGAGATTTTTTTCTTGTGGATATTACAGAAAAATTAAATTAACTTAATTTGCAGCTTCAGGAGAGAGACATAGAACTAGCAAAAATGATTTGTGATATAAAAGCGTTCATTAAAAAGATTTGGGAACAAAACAATCTATGGCGATACTAGGCATTTCCCTGTTCTCCCAGAAAGTATATCTCAAAGTCCATTAGAATCATATGACGGTAAATATCATGTTGAAATAGACTCTAACTTGAAGGATACCTTCAAAAATCGTTTCAAGGATTTTAACGAAATTGCTGTAGTGGCACAATTTGTTGTTTCACCCTTCATGGAAATGGATATCCAACAGTTTGCCACTTATTTAGATTAACCGATTTGAGTGAATCTTCTTTTTCAAATATGAAGTTTATTAAAAACAAATACCGTAATCGCCTTACAGATTAACATTTGGATAATGGTATTCGAATGATGGTATCAAATTATACTGCAGACATTGAAAAAAAATGTCAGTGAGTCTGATTGTCAGACTTCTCATTGAACACGCATTTTTTATTTGGACATGTTTTTGTTTAAAATGGTGCGTTGCTTGTTTATTTTTAGTTACCTTCATTAAATCGTATGTGATATGGCATTGTAGCTGATGAAAAATTTTATTTTTCAAACACCTACGATTGGTAGGAATGGATATGGTTACGTAGTATGTATTAGTTATTAGTTTATTTAAGCGTATTAGTAAAATAAACACATGTATGTCGCATACAACTGTGTATAATTTCATTTTAGTTAGCTTAAATTGCTTACGACTAGGTAGTTCACTGTTTGTTCCAAAATTATCAAAGTAGCTCAACATGCTGAAAAGGTTGACGACTATTGATCTACGGGTAAATCATCCAGTGCATGGATTAAGGAGTTGTATCATGTCATGGTCCGAACATATTCAATACTCAACGACTGAGGCCAAAGGGAGTCTATACCTTATTGAATGATTTTTCAATGACAGTACTAGTGTTGGGCTTCTGTACACTTCATGTGTAAGGCCAATTATGGAATTTACGGGACATGTTTGGTATCCAACGCTACTACGTGACCGAGACCTGTTCGAAAATGGTGAGGTTTGGATGAACTTCGTCAATGCATCATCGGAAGCTGCCATGATATCCCACAACATGACCATCAGGAATTTGAACATCGCCTATATATTTGCTTGGCCAATAGCTTGCAATATTTTGAACACTTATTGAAATAAAAATACTTGCGTGTGATTTTTGTTTTCTATCTGAACAAATTAAGATAAATAAAGATTTGTCTAATTTTCTTGCAAACGAAATACGTTTCAAAGAAGCTATCACTTGATACCTCCTGTCATTTAAAATGTTTAAGGGGATGACCCTGGGGGCAGATGGTGAAAGGGGCTGAAGTTGTTTTTGGTTACAAAGTTGTCCCCCTTGACAAGTCTTTTGCGTGCCTCGGCGTTTTTTTCGTTTGATCAGTGGTTTTTAATAATCCGTGATAGGAAGTTTTTAAATGTTAGGAATTGCCATGATGTTATTAAAATTCGGGTATGTGGTTAAATAGTTCGCTTTGTATAATATCTTAACTAAAATAATCACTAATTAATGTATGTGCAAAGTTTGTGTTTAAATTTTTTTTTTGTAGAGCCCTGAAGAAGGAAATAACTTCTCCGAAACGTCGTCAAGAAATTTAAATAAATATTACATTCCACGAAAAAATACTGAAAGGTGATAGTGAATACTGACCAAGTGACATTCGAGTTAGTTAGCTCGAGATAAGTCGATATATAGGTCACAATAGACAGCGTCTGCAAATACCTATACGAGGGGGTACCCAAAAAAAACAGGAATTATTTTTTAAAAGCTATTTATTTTCACCTTTTTCACAAGGTAACCTTATCTCCTTCAAAATACTGTCAACTACAACCGATACACTTGTCCCACGGGTGCTTCCACTGCTCGAAACACTTTTTGAAGCTTTCCTTAAGGCGGCATTACACTCTACGAGATATCGTCGCGATTTATCGGTGATGTGATTGGCAAATTTATTGCTCAGATAAATCCAAGGTGGGGTACTGTTTACACGCTCCGAGAAATTGTAACAATTCCTTGTCACATTCTATCATCGCCAGCTATAGACCACATAAAATGTTGTAGCCATGGAGTACTACTGTCAGTATTAATCGGATGTTTAGTGAGTAAAAAAAAGGAAAAATCGCGAAAACTCAGATTCAAGTGGAGTCGCGAGTGGTTACTGAAGAAGAGGGAATTCTCTCATGTGAACTTATTGCAATAATTGAGTAGTGAGTCAAATGACTGGAGAAATTATTTGAGTTTCTCCGTTGATTGCGAAACATGATACTGTAATGAGAAGAGCGATATTCTCTCACGAAAGACTCTCAGCTACCTTACGATTTCATGCCACCGGAAGATCCTTGAAGGACATGGAATATTCTACTGCGATTTCTCAGCCAGCTCTCAGCTCAATAATCCCAGAAACCTGTGCGGCTATCTACAAAGCATTACAACAATACATTCAGGTATGCTTTATTTATTATAAAACATATTTGTCTATATATTAGTTTTTAATTTTCTTTTAAAGTAACGAAATGTAATACAATATAAAGTGAATAATCATGGAATGTGAAACATTAATGTCTTGCTATGCCAAAAAATTTGAAAAGAAGGCTGAAGCATTGTTGAGTTGTTGTGATTCTGATTGGTGAGCATTGGGTTGTTCAGGTTAGTTTGTTTGAACGTTTGGTAGTGTCACGTTAGAGACTTCGGGAGTATCATGGTTGAGAGTTTGGGGATATAATGCTGGAGCGTTTGGGAGCTGTAGAATGTTATCACTGGAACAACGAGGATTGTGTTATTGAGGGTATGGTTGATGGTCGGGCATTCGTGAGATGTACAGTGGGGGGTAGGGTTGCTGTCGGTAAAGCTGGGGGTTAAATTGTTGATACTCATTGCTTTCGAATGAACGGTGTGGTTGAATGTTTGTTACTTTAAAATCTTTGGTGAGTGCTTCCAGCTCCCCCTCAAAAATCACGTCATTTATGAGTTTTCTAGCGAATATGGCCTGGTTTCCTCTAAGACAATGTAGCTTATGAGCTACATACTTTCCGTAGGCATCGAACTCATCGTCAGTACGAATCGAGGTACGAATACTTTGAGCTGCTCACCCGCAAGCTGTATCACCTCATCTGCCGGAGTCAGCATCTTTTTTCTCTTACATAGTGTCTTTGGCACCCTCGGTATAACTGTTGATGGTGTCACACTTAGTGATGTGCTTGATCCACCATCACCTGATGTTGGAAGAGCCTCATCTCCTTGTTGGGAATGGGGTAGATCAGTAGGTTCTGAATCCTCTTGTTGGAAATAAAACAAATATCAGTTTCCGATAAACTTATGAGCGGCTACATTTGGCAGGTGACAGAAACAGTTCTTCACCTATTTCCGAGAAAATAGATTTGTAGATAATATTCAAGTTTATATTTAACTTATATTTTTATTTGTATTCAAATCTGTAATTTGAAATTGAGAGTAGTGTCAACAGAATAACACATTTTGCGTATGTGTATGTGTATCAAAAACAATTTTTTTTTTCAGTTCCCTAAAACAGCCGATGAGTGGTACAAAATTGCCATAGATTGCGAAGAGAAGTGGCAATTTCCTCATTGTTTGGGCGCAATCGATGGAAAGCATGTCCGGATTGTTCCACCAAAGGATAGTGATTCATACTACTTCAACTACAAGAAGACCACTTAGTATAGTTTTGATGGCTATAGCAAACGCTCACTCTGAATTTATACTTTGTGATATAGGAACTAACGGTAGAATATCTGATGGAGGTGTGATTAATAACACTCGTTTTTGCGACAAACTTAGGAAAAATCAACTAAATATCCCTAGACCCGAACCAGTTAGCTTTGATCTTGACCTGCTATATTTTGTGGGGGATGATGCCTTGGCATTAAGACCTGATCTTATCAAGCCTTACGGTCGGGATTCCCTTAACAACGAGAGAAGAATATTCAACTATCATATATCGAGAGCACGGCGAGTAGTTGAGAACAGTTTTGGACTTTTAGCTTCACGTTTTCGTGTTTTTACACTGCGATCAATTTAAATGTGGATTCCATCGAATCAGTAGTTCTTGCTTGCTGTGCATTGCACAACTTCTTAACGACAAAATCATCATCTACTTACTCTTCTCCTGAAAGCTTTTATCAAGAAAATATTATTGATGGTACCGAGCCACCAAGTACAAGGCCTGATACTGATATGTTTCACAATCTTGAAAAACGTTCAGGAGGTCAAGTTTTGCAACAACGTTCGAGACAAATTCTGTGCGTATTTTAACGGGGAGGGGTCAATTCCTGGGCAAGAAACATTTGCACTGAATGTTTAAAATTTACAGTTCATTAGTTAAAACCATGTTATACAGGGTGTTTCAGTTTATTGTTGCATAACTTTAAGATTCGATAGAAGTTTTAAAATTAATGCATAAAGTCTATATAAACATGGGTCGAAAAATGCGTGGCTTCCGAAATACAAGGTGTTTAAATTTACTTTTTAAAATAGTTTCTTTTAAATATTTCGAACAATATGTGATGTATAACAGTGAAAATTGGTATACAAGGGTTTTTTGGTACGACAAAACGAACCATGGGCATAGTTTTACTGTAGCCGCTAGAGGGCGCTCTCTACTGTAACTGTAGTGTATTAAAATGACCGAAAATTTTTTCTTAGTGCAATTTTTTGCTTTTTGAACAAAAAAACTGATTCTTCGCACTTTTGCTGCATAAAAAATCTCTCCTGTGAGTTTTCGTTGTAGTTAGCCGTTTTTGTGACATTTCGATTTTTAAGGTTCGATGCATTTTTAATTACTTATGGGAAAATAAATTTTTTTTTACATTCTCGATTTGGGCATTACAAGTAATTAAGATGATCGTTTAGATTGTGTTTTTACGCGCAGCAATAATTCCTAGCTCCAAGTAAACACAAAAAAACAGAATATTAATTTGTTTAATTTTCCAATATTATTTTTAACAAATTAAATTAATTATTTACAACTAAAATGCTATTGGATAGTTAGGACAAACATACAAAATCTAAAGTAGTTGCCCGAAATGTAAACCCAATTGTTCAATACACAATTCACATCTACGAATGATCGAACGTGGTATAGCATTATTCAAATAAGGCCTTATTTTATCACATGCATTCCTGATTCTGTCTATTAGCATATCTCTTGTGGTTAAGGGAGTCTGGTACACTTTTTCTTTTAGAAATCCCTACACAAAGAAATCTAATGGATTTAGGTCAGGGGATCGTGGAGGCCACGCGACTGGTCCTCCACGGCCGATCCATCTTTCTGGATAATTTTCGTCCAGCCAGTTTCTAACTATTCTCGAATAATGAGCTGGCCAACCATCATACTGGAACCAGGCATATCTTCTTAAATCTAACATAACATCATACCACATATTTGCATGTTCAGCCTTTAAAAATTCCAAGAATGTCGCAGCATTTAACCTTGCAGGCAAAAGGCAGGGTCCAAATAGTCGATTACGGTAGATACCAATCCACACGTTCACACTAAATTCATGCTGAAAATTTTTTTCCCGAACTGCATGCGGATTTTCATGCGACCAAATATGTTGATTATGAAAATTTACCACTCCACGTCTAGTGAAGCATGACTCATCGGTCCATAAAACGTTACTTAAAAACTCCCTATTATTATCGGTTCTATCAAGAATCCACTGCCAAATGTGATTCTTCGTTCTCCGTCCCCTGGCTGTAGTCCTTGCACAGGGTGCAAATAGTAAGGACGGCTATGGTCATTTCTAAGAACACGGTGAACATGGCTTGCTGAAATTCCCAAGGCAGCAGAAACTCTCCTAACATTTGTGGTCGGATCTCTATCAAACTCACGCAGAATCATACGGGTAACTCTACGCTGACGAACATTCATGTTTTGACCCCTTTGGAGATGTCCAAAACCATTTTCAATTATATGGCGATGCACTCTTACAAATACTGAGCGAGTTGGATGTCGTATGTTTGGAAATCTTCGTGCGTATTCTCTGGCTGCTTCTGCTGCGTTTCCATTTACAAAGCCATACACAAAATGAATATCCGCTAACTCTTGATTGGAGAATAAAAATGGCATTTTTATAAAACTTACAAGAAAAAACAGGTAAAAGAGACTAAATTTCGTGCATTCACAATTGCAAAAAAACGTTTCAGGTTTCAACAGACAACAAAACTAACTGTCAACTAATTGACGTTTAACATTATTCTGCTTTCGATTTCAAAAATATTTGCAGGCACAGCCTACTTTTAAAAATTATCGAGATACTGACTTTTTAACGTTATTTTATCATAAATAATTAAAAATGCATCAAACCTTAAAAATCGAAATATCTCAAAAACGGCTAACTATAACGAAAATTCACAAGAGAGCTTTTTTATGTTGAAAAGTTCGAAGAATCAGTTTTTTTATTCAAAAAGCAAAAAATTTCATGAAGAAAAATTTTTCGGTCACTTTAGTGCACTACAGGTACAGTAGAGAGCGCCCTCTAGCGATTACAGCAAAACTATATGCATGGTTCTTTTTGTCGTACCAAAAAACCCTTGTATACCAATTTTCACTGTTATACATCAAATATTGTTCGAAATATTTAAAAAAAAACTATTTTAGAAAGTAAATTTACGTATTTCGGAAGCCACGCATTTTTCGACCCATGTTTATATAGACTTTATGCATTAACTTTAAAAGTTCTATCGAATCTTAAAGTTATGCAACAATAGACTGAAACACCCTGTATAAACTAGATATTTTGAGACACAGGGATATTCTTTAATAAGTTTGTGCCGACAACAAGTACTTGTTATAACAATAAATTTTGCTATATCCAAATAAAAATTCATTTTCACTTACATCTTGTTGTGTTTCTTGATCCGCATCACTCATTGTACTCCTACTAGGTCTTTCAGAGTCCTGGTCTCTCAAAAAATGCAGCAGGTCGAAGTACCACAACGTAGGTCTATAGATGTCATCCGCGTCTGTCCCGGATTTTTCCGATTTGTAAACTTTAGCCAATTCTTTTTTATAGACCGTACGTAAAGCATTAATTTTTTTAACAACAGTGTTTCTATACGCCGATGGATCATACTCCTGGTATTTTTTCACCAACTCAATATAAGCTAAATCATTTTTATTCCCGTCAGAATATTCTTTGCTTTTGACGCGCCACAAACACGTATAACTTTGATAACGTTCAATGAACTCTGTCAAAAACTCTCGAGGAGTTTGTTTCGGTGCATCTACCATAGGTGCGTCTGTCAATTCGTACCAAAAAGAAAAACTAAATTGACTCCGTACGGCCAAAACGCAAACTGAGTTAAATTGTAGCGACAAATCGCTGCCACCTGATTACATGTTCGATAAATCGTTACGATGTCCCGATTACACACGACGATCAATTGAAACAACTCGATCGTTATGATAGATTGCTCGCATTTATCGTAGCGTGTAATGCCGCCTTTAGAAATGTTTGACAGCTCGTCTCACGATTTTTTCTTGACCTCTTCAATGGCGACAAAGCGGTGTCCTTTTATGCCTATTTTCATCCGTGAAAATAAGGAAGAGACGCACGGAGCCAGGTCAGGCGAATAAGGTACGCGGGGCAGCGGAACCCTGCCATTTTTGGCCAGAAACTGTAGAGCAGAGATCGCTGTGTGCGCAGTTGCATTATCGTGGTGGAATAATCAGTCTCCTGGCTGCCACAAATCGGGTCTTTTTTGCCGAATACCGTTTCGCAACGACCTCGGAATTGACTACGTCTTTGACATCAAAAAACAATTCATCATTGTTTTGATGTTTGATTTGGCTTGACGACATTTTTTTGGGCGGGGTGGCGATGGCGTCTTCCATTGACTTGACTGTTGCTTCGTTTCTGGGTCATAACCGTACCACCAAGTCTGGTTACCAGTGATGATGTTTTACAGAAAATCTTAATCAGATTCAAGCTGTTGTTTCTAAGCACGACATGTTTCAACTCGGTGTTCTTTTTGATTGTCAGTCAGAGCCCGAGCAACAAACTTGGCAGCAACCCTTTTCATTCCCCAATCTTTTGTTAAAATTCGCTGAACGAACCTCCAGGACAACTCACTACTTACTCTTACGCTCTCGAATTTTTTCAACATTTTCGTCGATCCGGGCAGTTGATGGACATCCAGAGCGAGATTTGTCACAATCGCCATTTTTAAATCGAGCAAACAACTCGTACACCTGAGTTTTTCCTATAGCATCATCTTTGTAAGCTATTTTCAACATTAAAACAGTTTCAGCAGCATTTTTACCAATTAGAAAGGAAAATTTCACAGCTGCACGTTGCTCACTGGAGCTTGTCATCGTGAAAGACGAAAGAAGCACGAAATTGCTGTAGCAAAAATAATGACTACAGAGGAACGAAACAAGCCAGATCAACAACTCAGGTGGCAACTGGTAATTAGTTGCGTTGTACGCGTGTAGGCGCAGATATGTATACTACACAAGCTCCGCCCATTGTAATGCTATTTCGGTTATTTTTGGGTACATCCTCGTATACTAATCTTCAGTAAGAGCATTGTATAATGTACATCCTTATTTTGCCATTTATTGCAAGAAATGAAGGGTTGCTTAGCTGCTGAATGCACTGACTGACTTTTTAGAGTACGATTCTCGATGTTTCTTATTGGTACTCATCGATTAATTCAATGTCAGACTTGGTGACTGACTTACTAACTGCACTGGAATAATAATTGAATAGTGGGGCTAATTGTGGACCTCTTGGACCCCGACAAAGATTAGCTTTAGAATAATTAAATACCTCCAATAACATATAGAGAGAATCTTAAATGACTAGACGGTGAACATCCCGTTTGGGC